TACTACTACTAGACTTCTTGAATATATTTATATATATATATATATATATGGCACTAAATAACGCGAGTTAGATATTATTGTAATGTTCCGGACCTTTGCAGGAGATTTTCTCAATCTGGACCTTTTGGAATTTTAATTGAATACCCCTGCTGTAGCATAAAGTATCCTTTAACATACTTCTATTCCAGCAGGTGTCACTATTGCCTATTAATACGCGACATTGCCATTGTTTTAATTGACTGCATTTGTACATCCATGTTGCATTAAATTTTTTTGGAAACAAGTAATAATTTCAGTCAAGTTGCATGTTTTCAGTGTCTGGACTTTCAGTATTCATATGTTGCCAAAATGTGAATGTTAGCATTTTTTTGTTCCTACTTGTGGGTTTTAATATGTGCAAACTAGGCATGTGGTGGTTAAGTGGGTTTTTTCCCAGACAATGCAAAAAAATAACATAAATAATTCTTAATTAAGTAAGTATTCATTGAAAGTAATGATGGGCTGTTTGCTATCATAATGTCAAATACAACTGTATCAGTGTGCTCCAATATAGTGGTTTTCATGTTTAAACCAACCCTAGTTCATAAAAGCTTGCTGCAGTTTTGCAGTCAAGGCGCCCTGTGTTTTGTATTTTACAGCAAATTCCACAAAGGTACAAACTTATAGAATACAGAGATTTTTGTAGTCAGTCACCTAGTGTTCAATTGGATTTGACACATACACAAGAGGGATATAGTGATAAATGGGTTTATTTAGTTGTGAGCAGCATGACACACTAATCTGACGGAGCTAATGAGGGATTACACTGAGGTTAAAAGGTCCCGAACGCACACATACTGCATGTTTATAGGGATACATTCATTTTGTTACATAAACAGAAATACTTTAAGATGTATATCTTCTCAGGAAGATATTATGCAATGCAATTGGGAAAATGAATTTAATTAATTCCTATTAATTTGTTATCAAAATGTTTGCTATCACTGGGAGCCAGGTTAAAGACTTTTCTGTCCCAAACTAGGGTGTTAACAGTTCTCCACTTCACCATCAGGTACTGGCTCTGTCATTGTGATTCTCAATCAGAGTCAAGGACATTTGACTCCATGTTAACACATTTGGCAAGAGGCCTGTTTGGTTTATGCTACGTGTTGACGATGAGTGTTATTTCATTAAACCTTGACATATCTTCTTTGCTAATTGGTGAAATTTTAAATTAATCTTGCTAGAATTTCTGCATTTCCTGATGTTGTACGTATACCTCCCGAAGACTCCAAACATTGTCTAACACTCCCTTTAAAGTTACAGTGAGGAACATTTAACTAGTTATGAAACGGTCTCAAATTAATACCGATGCATCTATATGACCTTCATAGGTAAGTGAAATCATCAGCAAGAAGATTGGGTATTTGGTTCTTAATGCTTGTCATTAGGGACCACCAGGTCGGATTCAGATGAAATCATGCAGATTCACCAGAGACTCCCTCAGCTCGGACTCCAGCCGGGCCTCCAGCAGCAACCAGCCCGCCGTGCATGGACCCAGATCTGGCTCCTCTGCAGCCTTCGACCTGCAGTTGGAAGCTCCGGCGTAGGAGGAGAGCTCTGCGCCCGGCAGCAGCGTGTCCTCTCCCGGCCAGGAGCTGAGCTTCTCCTCGCTGCTCCGCCGGTGTCCTGCCGGTCCCTGCTTGGAGCAAACACAGACACCATGCTGCTGGAGACCCGGGCCGTATTGCTGGGCCTGCTGGAGGGAAGCGAGGCACTGGAGATCTAGAAACCAGGACTATCCAAACAAAGGCAAACTATCTCTCTCACACTCCCTATTATTATAAAACATCCCAAATGAAAGCTTTTTTTTATTTTTATTGAAGACTACCTATTATACTCAAATAAGTGCTTGTATCGAGATCTGATTGGTCCACAGGTCCCTCCCCTACGATGCTACAACCACCACCTCCGCTCTCTGCGGCTCACAAACAGCACGCAGTTGCAGCCACCTCTAGTGGAGAAACGGCAACTTCACCTTGACTTCGCAAAAAGCCAACACTGTCCTGACAGTGCGATAAAGGCTGTCTCATGAATGTGATTTGAAGTTAGCTCATGAAGGAGATGTTGAAGGGCTTTAATTTTGAAATGCTACTTCAGAATGTCCTGGTTCTGTCTGAGTGACACCTTGAGGTGGTCTGCTATTAACCTGTTGTGAAAAGATTTTGTAACTATGCACCATTTCCTCTAAAGTCTAATCTAAAATGAGACAAATTGTCTCATGAATGTGATTTGAAGTAAACTCATGAATGAGATTTTGAAGGGCTTTAAGGACGACCGACCATGTGGGCGCATGTGATTAATGTGCATGACTTTTCGCACAGTTCCTATTTATCAGCTGCAGGTTCATTGATGCTCTCAGATAGCAGTGTGTATTTTGGGGTGTTGTAATATTAATCTCGTTCTCTCTCTCTCTCTCTCCCTCTTTCTCCCTGCCACAGAGGTGTGGAGCAGTCGCATTCAAAAGGTCGGAGCAGAATGCCACGCAAGTTTGCATGCTGGGTAAGAACGCTAACTGACCTGAATACCACTGTGCAAGAGGTTTGTTAATGTGCTGCTGTGTACAGCCAACTGCAAAACTGACGGTGCAAACATGTTTCTATACATTTGGTAACAGCGCTCCAGGCTGTCGCTGACCTTTGGCACTGTGTAATCTCTCTGCTGTGTATGCTCTCCGCTGTCCAGTCCTTTTGTTGAATAAAAGTGGCGCCTCAATACAGTAAGTTTCACTCCAGGCGTGTTTTTAAAGTAGTGTCTGGACTGGAGACGGTAAAATGTAGCCGTTTATCATAATCTCAGACCTTGAAATGTAGCTAAAGCTATTTTTTTTTCTTCCAATATTGGTGTTAAGATTGTTTAAAAGTTCCCTGAAGAAATGCTGAAGTGTCGGCCTCAAAACTCCCACTGACCTTGTCGGCTCTCTGATATCTTTCCCTCATTCTGAGAATGAGAATCTCACCTCCTTTTGTTTGATAACGGCTTTGTTCACATGTTCTGATTTATTAAAGTCCCATACAGACAGACAGTATGATATATTTTCCGGTGGCACTGTTGCTCTCCTTCATACTGGTAAAGGCTGTTTCCCACTCTTAATGATTGTGGGGCTGCTTAGAATTACGATTTGGCCGCACTACGAACAAGCCAACCAAACCGTTTTAAATTAATGTCCACTTCTATTTCGGTACATGACACACTTTTGCTCCTATGGGATTTGAGGGGATTGCTTAGTGACGTCATCTGTTGATCAAAGCGACAACACAACAATAATACATTGAGTACATAACCATGGTACATTTTCACTGAATAACCACGCTGTACATCGTGTCCCCTCTGCTTCTCACAGTTTCTCACAGCCTGTGTCTTTTATCTTAACGCTCTTTGTCTCATGATTCCTTGCAATCGACTTCTTGCCTATGAAATGTGATGTTCAAGGCTGTGTATCTGTCTGCACCTGTGTGTGTGTGTGTGTGTGTGTGTGTGTGTGTGTGTGTGTGTGTGTGTCAGTACTTTGGTCTGCATGTGACTGTTTCTCAAGGGAACATTCCCGGGGAGAAAAAAAATAAATAAAAAATGGTTATCGCTCTGCATCCTTCATGATAGCGTGCATGCAAAGACAGACGGTCTCAATTACTTACATTCACCTAATTGGATTCATTTTAATTGATATGTTCTTTTTTTCAGCCACAGGAAAGCCTTTGTGTGTGTGTGTGTGTGTGTGTGTGTGTGTGTGTGTGTGTGTGTGT